GCGTGATGATGCGAGGCTGCCGACAGTTGTGGAGCAGCGGGCGGTTGCGAAATATTATTCGGCTGCGTCTGACAGTTTCCTTGCTGTTGTAGGCTACGAACGAGATCTGCGAGTTCGCTTCTGCTAACTGTGATGACATCGCTGGGGGGGTTCGTTGACTGTACTAGTACAGTGGGATCTCCATTGCGTGCTGACGATTCTTGCGGCGGTGAGTCAGTTACGTCTATAGTCTCAACATTTTGGAAGCGAGCTGGAGTACGACGATTTCGTTGAGACTTGCGACCGCCACGGTTGGTTTTAGATCTTCCGCGTCCTCGAGGCATGTTGGAACTGGATGTCGTGAAGAAAGACTGGTATTTGTGACAAATGAATGGCTGAAATGCTTTAGCAAGGAATTCTGCTGAGACGATGTGTATTGTACGGTGCGGCAAAACGAACTGATGCTTGAAGAGGATGCGAGCACAGATAAGCAAATGAACAGTCTGGCGTTAATTAATGTAAATCCGACTGAAGGACGAAATGTGAGCAAATATTGCATGAAGTACAATGTGGCATGGGAGGTGTCAAAATATGAAAGGGGGATGCCAGCTTGGTCAATGCATGTCATAATTGAGCATTAACACAGATTATAAATTATATTCATAATCATACTATTAAGTAAAGAGTAGCAATGACACGTAGTAGTGACACGAAAACGAAGCGTCGGACAAACAGGAAGTTACACAGCCCTTACACACTGCTAATTGTTTTCATTTTCGAAGGCTAAAAGTTTCTGAATTGTTTGGTGATTGGTGTTGAATGTCAAATTCACACCTCTGTTCTTTTTTTACCTCCATGCTTGCAGCTTGATCTGCGTAATAATTTATGAAATAAGAATCCGGGCTTGGTCAATGTGTTTCCACTAAATAAAGTTTTAATATGATGTTATAATTATGACAATCACGCCATGGATCACGCTAACTCGAATCAACTCCTAATTTATCTGTATGTGTGTCGATCTCGATTATTTTTGTTATCCAATTAAACGCCGCTTTTAACGCACTTGCCCTCGTCGTGACCCGACGCGTTCACCTATTTCAACAAAATTTCAATTTATTTCCACGTGGCTGTCATTTATTTAGTAACTGTGATTTGTCATTTTTTTTATTATTTTATAGTGATCACTATATATGTTCTCTTTTATTTTAATTTTGAAAGTTTTACTCAGACGATCGATAAAATAAAACAGTGTAGTGACGTGCCTAGTAACCTATTTAGTCCAGCGACAGTGTACAAACGTGCGCCGGTGACGATCACAATGACCAGCTATACCAGAACGGACATATTTCGCATCTAACTCAACCCCATGCAACAAAAATTGATACTATGTGTTCATTATGGTCCATTCCTCCTCGACGAACAAGTACATAAGTGAAAATTTAGTCAAAGACGAGAAAACTGCACAAGAAATTTGCCTTATTTACACCTATCGGCAATGCAAGCTGCCATGTGACTTCCCCTTCCGACATCACAAGGGGAATTTCTGTATGCAAATAAGAAGCTAATGAGGAGCCTCGTTTTAAAATACACAAAAATAAAGTTGCGGTAGATTGAGTTTAAGGTAGCGAGACTATTATTTGTGTTGAAAATTACGATTTTCACATTTATTTATTAATTGATGAAATGCGCTATAAACTTTCATGTGATAAAGTCAACATAACATAGAATGTCATGTAAGTTGGTTAAAATGTAGATTTTCTGAAGGGAAGCAAGGCAACTTCAGTAGTGTTTTCCAAAATCAACAACACAGGTTTAATCTGTGTGCCTATAAGTTTCAAAGATAAACTCAAGACAAAGCAATGTTAGGATGTGTTATCAGTAGCTATCTGACACACAATGAGTGTTTCCAAACATTTGAGTGGTTT